CAGACAGGCAGGAAGTTTGAGCCACATAGACATGGGGTGTTTATTATCTGACTTGAGAACTTTCAATATTTTCTAAGTGGTAGTTGGAAAACAGGAACAGATTTTCATGACCTAGTGGCTTTGTAGGCAACATAGAGGTTATGACCTGGATGTGGACATGGACCTGGATGGCGTGACCAACTATTTGGCTATATTTGTCAGAGAGACTAAATGCAATGTCTGTGCATGCAATGTCATGCTTAAGGAATAATGAGAGGGGGAAGGAAAATTGAAAGAGGCAAGAAGAACGTAGGAAGATATAAAGTGCATTGGGGAAGAGCGGGAACAAGGACACAGTCATCAGTGAAAGTGCCACCTAGGACCTTCTCTCTGATTCCTGCCCATACTGATCGCTGTTTTATACTTAGGACCTAGCAGAATGCCTATCACTTAGTTGTTGTTCATAAGTGTATTAGAATTATGATTTATTAAAATAAGACTAGCCATTAATTCAAGAAATGTCTGTTGATTGCTCTGGTATCCTAGACATGGTGTGAGGTCTTGGTCCCTGCCCTTAGGGGGTACTCAGAATACTTGGGGAGATAAATATAATCAAATTATTGAAAGCAAAGCATGATAAATGCTGTGGCAAAGATGTGGAACAAAGTGCTAAGGCAATGCTAGAAGGAGCTACTTGCTCTGTCTTAGGACTTGGGAAAAATCTTCATGGGGAGTGAATCATTTAAACTCAGAATATTATTCAAGCTATGGTCTAGAAAGGATCTGGCCTCTTCAGGAAATGAGAATGTCACAATAGCTAGAGATAAAACATATAGACAGAAGAGGCTGGGGACACATGCAGGGCTTGCAAGTCCAGCTAGAAATTCATGTTACAGCCTGGGAGGCAGTAGGGGTCTGCCATTGGATCAACCTCTGTCTTACCATCAGAATTATCTTCTTAAATTTTATAATGTTAATACCCTTCCCCAAAGCCACAATGTCACTCAACCATCAAATAGTATCATGAAATATGGATTTCCACATGCTGATGAGAACTCTAGATAAATACCAACATAAAAATCCTATTGTGGAAGCACTAGTGCACATAGGTCATTGAACGTCTAAAGTGGCCTTACATCCACATACTGGTATCCATGCCCCGGTGTTGTCTCCACCTATATTGCATTAGGGTAGGTCTTTGTGAACAATAGAACATGAAAGTAAAGGTATGTCACCTTCAAGGCTAGGTCATGAAATGCATTGTGATGAAAGGCATCTATCTTGTGTTCTCCCCTGGATTGTTTGGTCTGGAAGAAGCTAGTCCCCATGTTATAAAGACATTCAAGTAGCCTACTGATTGCTCCATGTAGCAAGGAACTGAGGCCTCTTGGCAATAGCTATGTGAGTGAGATATCTTAGAAACAGAATGTCCATCCTGTTAAATCTTCTGGTGACTACAACATCATGAAGGACATTGAGTAAGAGCTACCAGCTAAGTCAGTCCCAAATTCCAGACCCACAGAAATTTTGGGATAATAAATGTCTATTGTTTAAAGTTACTGAATTTTAGGATAATCTTTATGTAGCAATCAATAATTAATACAGTCATTGACACATAAAATCAGAGTTAAGAAGAACTCTAAAGATTAAGTAGAGCAGGCACTGATAGATGGGTACAACATTTCCCTTGAAGTCTGAAGAGTTTTGTGGAATCTTTCTCTACTTCTATTGGTTATAGTTGGTACACACATTGAGACTTCTTTACTATCCCTGATTACAAGAGGTGTAAGGCTTAATCCCAGCTTGCATGTCTTATTAATGATAAGAATTTCATTTCTTGACTGTGAGTCCAGGGCTCTTGTGCTGTATTATGCTACCATCTATGCAAATGAACTTAATTTAACCTCTTTGGTTTATATGAGATACTTACCAACTTGCAGAAGTTCATCTAGAAAGAAGATACTATGCTACCTCAGAAAGTGGATGATAGTTTGAATCCTAATAGTAGTAGGCTGAATAACGGTTCCCAAAGGTCTTCAGGTCCTAATCCTTGGAATCTATGAATGCTACCTTACATGGCAAAAGTGATTTTGCAGTTGTGATTAAGGATAATGAGATGGGCACATTGTTCTGGATTATGTATGTAGGACTTACATGTAATCACAAGTATCCTCAGAAGGAGGGAATGTTATGTAATGCACAACAGGGAAAGAAAATGTGATGCAAGGCCAGGAGCAAACAAATGAAGACAGTATCCTGGAAAGATAAAGAAGCAGATTCTCCTTCAGAGCCTCCAGAAGGAAGCCCTGTTGGCCCTTTGATGTTAGCCCCTGAGACTGATTTCAGATTTCTGACGTCCAGAACTGTATAAGAATACACTTGTGTTAAGACACCAAGTTTGTTATAATTTGTTACAGCTGCCATTAGGAACTAATACTTTCACTTTAGCTCTGATATATCCTAGTTCTGTTAGTCTGCATAAGACAACCTAAGACTGTTTTCTCATCTTTAAATAGTAATAACTGTCTATTTCATAGGGCTGTTGTTAGACTGAATGAGATAATTTATGTGTAAAATGCTGATAGAACTTGGCACTCAGAAAGTTCGTCATAAACTTGGCTGTTGATCTGGTCTGGACAGGAAGAATGCAACACTTTCTGCTCCTTTTGAAAACTCAAGTAGAGTACCAAGCAGCTTGGAACACAGAAGGAGCTGAGTGTCTATTAAACACTCTAGGCTGCCCTTCCATCAGGGACCTGGAGCCCGATTAGCTTCACCCTCTCTGATTGCCCTTTCTCAAGAGTGTTGACTGCAAGACAGGGAAAAGGAAAACACACAGAATGACCAGAAAACCCACAAATATGAGAGGCCTAAAGAGGATTTTGAAGATTTTGAAATAATTTCTTTACCTATTATCTACTTTTGGAGAAAGCCACACAAAGCAGGTGAAAAGTTACCTCATTTACATAGCTCTGACGAGTGGGAGAGACCACTAGCTTTTCTAGTAATTTCCCTTGGTACATATGAAGACTATTCTTGATTTTCAAAGGTGCCTGCACTGATGGCTGTACATTTTTTCACAGAAACAGTGGAATGGATTTGTTTTTGAAAGCTTGATATAAATGCTGCCTAAAAGAGTCTATTACAAAGCAGCCCTGTATTTGTTAGCTGGCCATGTGTCTCATTACTTCAGGCCCACTGGAGGTATGAGGAGCATAGCTGTATAAACCTTTTCTTTTCCTTATCCTAGGTTAAGTTTCAAAATTTCACTAATTAAAAAAAAACATAATAAATATATGTAATTATTGATCCCTACCCCTCTGTTTTCTGTAGAGGCTTTTATTCTCTGTTTTCTACTGATTGAGTATTTGTATTCTGTTGTTTATATGTACTGACCTCATTTGCATAGATTAAGTGCTCTGTGGTTTCTGTCATGAGCCCTAATGGGCAGGAACAACATTTACATCATTTTCTTGTATAGTGCTTAGTGGAACTTCCTGTGCCTCGTGATTGTTTTATGATGATAGAAATGATGCTATAAAATGAAGCCAAAAGGACACTTTATAGGTTCTGATGCTGTTGGATCTTCACTGGATGTCTGTCCAGAGTAAAGAACTGAGGAATAGCTCTTTGTATCATCATGACAAACAACTGATTTAGTAGAGGGCAGTGGTTTTCTAAAGCCCTATTAAATCCTGTCCTGTTAGTCAGAGATGACTGAGGAAATAAGTGAATCTGGTTCATTGACTTGGCTTCTGAGGTTCACCAAGAGGGCTAAATAAAGATCAAGCTCTCTTCTATCTCAGCACACACCTCAACACTGGACATTGGTCTTCAGTGGCCCCCAGTCACTGAATCCTAGGTTTGCCCACCACCACGGTTAGCAGTTCATTAGAAGGGAGTGCATTTTTCCTAACTGGGCCTGGATCAGTTGACACTTGTTGAACTACAGAGGTATAGTAATGGGCACAGGAAACCAAACAGTATGAAGTAAGTTGACTAGGATGTCATTCTTACTAATGCACAGATTCAGCTACCTAAATTGGTAATAGAAACAGACATCTCCTCTTTGAAATGGCCTTGCTTGGCCAACAGAGAGTGACAGCTGAGGTAGAGCTCATTTCTACTGTTAGGGGATTTACTACTTCACAGCTACCATCTAATGGTGACAGTTTAACAGCAGCCTTAGTAGGTCTTTTGTGACAGTTTTAAAGACACTGGCTATAAGCCATGCAAAAATTGATTTGCCTCATTTAGATACTCTCACTGTCCAAGGTTGGTGAAGGATGAACAAAGGCTCATACAGAAGATGTGTTCAAACTCTCTCCAGATAAGAAGCTCACACTAGCTGTTTGCTTTTGTGGGGAGTCAAAATTTAATATATAACCTGAAATCCTCCCAGCTTATTGACCTCCAGTCACAGGTTCTAGGAAAGAAGATGAAACTTTCATTTATCTTCACTCTACACATGGACAGATACTGTGCTTAAATGGTTCAGCCAAAATCTTTTAGATTTTGATGCATTTTATCTGTTTACACAAGATCAACAATACTTCCCTACTCCCACAGTAAACACTGAATCCTGTTTATAACAGAAGAGCAGCGTCTGCAGGGAGCACAGGCAGAGCACTCTGGGCTCCTTTTTCCTTTTTCTCAGAGACCCCAAAGAGTACTGCACCTTTGCTCTGCTTTACTGGCACCCCAAGATCATGATTAACTTGGAGTCCTTCTCTTCTTGGTTGGGCCTGACACAAGCAACTGCTTTTCTGTCACATTGACTTTTCTGTCCTTGTGGATTCAAAGCCAGGGTTGAGACCTCCTAACAGGGTTCATTCTCTGACAAGGAAGTTTTGCAACCTAATTTACAGCTGGAGTCAAGCTTGCCAGTGAGTGCCAGAGGGGAACTGAGGCAATCCACTGATTAAGCGTGCATTTAATAATGTTTATTCAAGCAAGTTTGTGATGTTTTTCACTCCCTTCAACAAGTATGTTATTTGTAATACCTATCTTCTCTAATCTAGGTGGTTGAAAAATGTCTGAAATGTGTGTGGGCTAGAATCCATTTTGTTTTTCTATGGGTATATTCATTTAACAAGAGCAGTCTCTGCGGAACTGTCAAAAACTGCCTGCCATCTTTCCAAATCATCTCTCTCTTCAGTGACCATGACTTAATCCTGAAGGAAAACAAGGTAATCTTTTCAAATAAACATTCTCAAGGATGTTTAGAGGGAACCCAATTGCTAGTATGCAGAACCTTCCCAGTGACTGAAAATAGTTATATTGATGGTAGTACAATTCCGTGGGTGGAGTGTTTGTAAGTATTAGATATTTTCAGCTGAATAACAATAAGCTAAATTGTAAGCAAAGGTATGTGTGTGTGTGCTGAGTGTGTGTGCGTGTGTTCAAAGAGGCACTTAGGATCTGGCATCTCCCTGTTGTTGGTGGAAAATGAGGCACCGAGGGGTTAAAAACTTTCAATAAATAGAAGAGTTAGTAAGGGATATTGGCAGTATTTAGAACCCAAGTCCATTAGGTTTCATGAGGCTAATGTGCTTCTTGTAAGACTAAATAAGAGATGAAGAAACATTTATCATTAAGTAAGAAGGAAGCAACGACACAAAAGCAGTTGGTTATATGCAACATATTAGTACAATATTCCTACTCTCAAGGAACTTGGCATGCAGTAAAAAGAGAAAATGTAGATTACAGATCCAAAAACAAAACTTACTTGGATGATAAACTTAACTAAATCAGTACAGACCATGTATTCTTGAATCTACCATTTCACTTAAAAATGTTATTTTGTATTAAAGTTTTTATTTTTAACCTGCCTCTTTCTCTCTGGTCTGTGGGCTTCTGAAGGACAAACTTCTTTTCTTATTTGGGGCCTGAAGTTCCAGGACTTAATGCTGATCTGGAAGAAATGAGGGCAGGAATGATTGAATGAATTAATTTGATCTTAAATTTTATATTTTTATCTTCCATTTGTGAGCCTGATATCCTCTGTTTAATTTATTTATCAATTGTTGTTTAAGATGCTTGTATATTCAAAGCATCTTTTAAATATACCCAGACCTACATACGCAAATACATCATTACCTTGTTAAAAAATCTTACAGCAGTACTGTCCAACAGAAATACAATACGAGCCACATGTGTAATTTTGAATGTTCTAATAGCCACATTAAAAAAGTAAAAAGAATAATATATGTTCTTTAACTCAACATATCTAAAACATTGCCACTTCAATACATAAATATAAAATTATTAATAAGATACCTTACATTCTTTTGTTTACACAAATACACTAAGTTATTGAAGTCTGGTGTGTTTTTCACTTAACAGGCATTTCAATTCAGACCTGCTTTCAGACTACAAAGTAAACTGACACAATGCAAGTGACTGGTGGGCTCATGTGGCCACTCTGTTGGTCAGCACAGCCCTGTAGTTCATACACAGATGTAGGGGACATTTCCCCCACCTAACAGTGAACCCCTGCTGTTATGCCCACTCTTGGTTCCTGTAGTCTGGAAACCGCCCTCTCCTCAGCAGTCCATGTGACAATTGAGTGGCCATCCTGACTTACCTGGGGGATCTCCTGGGACATAGGACTTACAGTGCCAAACCAGAACAGTCCTGAGCAAGCCAGAATGGCTAGTCATCCCACTGTAACCCATGCTTATCCAATCAACATATTTTTTCCAACATATTTTAGTCACAGTCAATGGACCAGACATAGAACACATAAAGCTGATTGCCAATCATGAGATTTTGTGGGAACCACTAGGAAAAGGAACCTCGGTTTCTGTTGTAGTGATTATCTAGAGTTTTAGCTAACCTTCCTTCCTTCATAAGGTAAGAGCATGACTGACAGTAATTCCTACTTTGGAGAAAATTAGACGTAAGGAGAGACTGACTCTTGGTGGGTTTACTTAAAAATTTTGAGTTCCAGGTCCAGCCTTCCTTGAACTTATGCAACTTCTAGACTTTTTAGAAAGCCAATAAATTCTTTAAACATAGATCCATCTTTTTTTCTTGTTAGTTTAAACCTTTCAGGTTGGATTTCCATCATGTGGAACTAAAATAGTCCTAACTAACAAAATAGTTTATATAAAAAAAGGGAGTACGAGAATCTAGTTGGAATTCTTCGGGCTCATAAGAAACATAATCAGAGATTGTCTATTTTCCTTTTACAAACTCTCCTTAAGCTACTGTGGGGTGTGTGTGTGTGCACATAATGAGTGTGTGTAAATGAGTGTGTGTACACACACATGATCATGTGTGTTCTTTCTTCTGCAGCCTCTAAACATGAGGCAACTTTGTGGTGAAGGGAGGTGAGGCCGTGAAATAGTTGTGTGCTGGCAATAGCCTATGAATTAGTAGGGCCTTTTTTAAGTAGGAAGCAAAGAAGATGTGTTGTTTTTCTTCCCTGTCTCTCTCTCTCTCTTGCTCTCAGACCTTTGCACTTTGCTCATGTTGAGAGAGCTTTGCTTCATTGCAACATTTCTCATGATGGACTGACTATAAGCCTCATTCTAGGTATTGGAACAATTTAGAGTTCATGAGATTTCCAACCTGAGGGCTACAGACCTTTGGGAGGTTGTAGAGTTGTAAAGTTGGTATCTGAAAATCCATCTGTTTATCTCTTCTTAATCAATGAATGCTAAAAGAGCAATCATTAGCATGTGGAAGGATTATAACACTTCTAACAGCTCCAGGAGAAGAGTGAGTATGTACTCAATAGATGTTATTGAGTGCCTACTATGTAATTTGTCAAGGTCAAATGCCCTATGTGAAGCACTTAACTATGTTACAGCATAATATTTAGATTTCATAGCACTCCTACAAGGCTAGAATTATGCTTATTGTTCTGAAATAGAAAAATAAATAACATCGATGTTTGTGTGTAAATATACATATGGTGTATGTTTATATATAATTATATATATATATATATAATTTTCCCTTATTCACTATTTAACAAACATTTTTTACACTTTTTGTTTTCAATGAATTGAGTGTCTAGTGTAGAAAATAGGCTTTCAAATGTACACCTGTACTACCTTCAGTGAGCATGTAAAGAAATCAGAGATACCACTGGAGAGGAGAGGAAGAGTGCCTGACGACAGAGGCAGGGATGGGATGGGGGTCAGTCAGAGGAGCTGCTGGGAAGCATGCCTGATGCCTGACACATCAAAGTTTATCTGCTTTATTGCAAATGTCTCTATTTTTTTTTCAGAAGCAAGTTCCATTTTTTGACAATAACAAATTTTATTTTGTTTCTCTGCATTATGGTGACATAAGTGACAGAACTCCAAACTGTAAAGCAAAGGAGTTGGGTTCTTAGCTGGATTTGTTGCTGGTGAGGCCCACAGGCAAAGTTTTATAAAATATCTGGGGCTAGAGTTTTCCCTTAGAGTAATTTCCTCCTACTCCTGTGAATTAAGGCAGATCAACCAATTCATCCATAATAGTACCCTTTCCAAAGCAGGGACACGGCAAAACCCTCAGCAGCGCCCTGCATTCTCACCTTTACTGCCCTTGCATCAAGAGATAGTATGTGGAAACTGCAGTTCAAGAAGCAGGGCGTAAGAGCTGGGCTTAAAGGGAAAATTAACATACAAGTAAAAAATGCCATCTCATTTCACTTTTCTCTTTTCACTTTTCACTTTTCTCAAAGTCAAATGACCATCTGATCATAGCTGCAGAATTTCCTCACTTAAGGATAGCCTAGGATAGAGAAGTGAAGATTTGGCAAATTAGATTAATGGTGATGGGGATATAGTTTCCAAATGCCTCAATCTGGCATTATTAGATTCACAATTAAAGAATAGTAAGTATTCAATATTTAATTAATATCCTGGAAGTTCCTTATATGAAAACACAACAGAATGATAACAAAAATGTCATATTTTCATATGGATATAAGTTGGAAGCAGATGTAATTCTTAATCTTAAAATTTCACTTTAGCAAGTAATCAGTTTTTTTGTTATTTTTAAATTTATTGTGTCTGGGGATACACTAATATGTGTACATGTTACTTATTTATTTGTTTACTTATTTAATTGAGGTACATACAATAAAATGCTCAAATCTTAGGGTATAGTTGATGAATTTTGACATGTGACCTATGTAACCTAGGTCATGCTATAAAACGTTCTCACTATTTTTTGTCTTCCTGGAGATACATTTATGTATGTATGTGTAACAAAGTCAGGGAGAGAGAGGGGGGGAGGGAGGAACTGTCTGTCGTATTGTGGTCCCAGTGTTTAGTGTAGGTCACCACCTATGAAATAGAAATCATTTTTAAGATTATAGGAAAGAATGAGAACACAGAAAGGTAAGAACTATTTGTTGACCATGTTGATGACTTAGCCTCTCAGACTGGATTTTTTTGCTTTCAAAAACAGTATTACGTTCATTTTTTGATTTAAATGAAAATATCTCATCAAGTTTTATCAACAAATATGTAAATTATTATACATTGTATATTAATAAAAAAAGTAATTTACATTCAACTTAAAATCCATAAAAGACTATTTGGCTTTCACAAAATGAATGTTTTTCCTCACTGCAGGTTGAAAGTGTTAATTTCCTTCTTTGCATCTAAGCACATGACAGTTTGGGCTACATGGAGACTCAGCAGAAGGATTCACATACTGGTTGTCATGATGCTCTTCCAGACTCACCGGTTTCCTCAAAGGACATGACTACAGGACGAAGGCCCGAATGCTCAGTGCGGCACACCTGGGAAGTCACCCTCTTCATGGTACCAGAGTTCGTAACACTCACCCAAAGTCAACCTATTCAACATCCGTTATCACTAGTCACTGGATAACCCTAGCGTGGAAGTCTCTGGTATTTGCCACCTGACTTTGCTACTTTAAATGTGGCCAGCACACTTTCCTACTGCATCGTGATCGGCATATAAAAGCCAATGGCATTTATCATCAAGTATTAACACCACCATCACCAAGTTCTCGTGTAGCATGACTGCAACTCCTATGGCCATTTATTGAGAATGCAAAGCCTTTGATGTGCTAGAAACAGATGCACCTCTGACGCTGAACTTGCTCCCCACTTTATGGCTCTTCTCATCTCTCCCGAGCCCCTCAACTTTGGCTCCCTTTCTTCAGGATGTGACTACTCAGGCAAAGCGGCTCATTTTTATCTGACTATAAAGCCAAACAAACAAATCTTACATAACTCTTCTGCCACATATTTTAACCTCTTTCTGTTTGGAATTCATCTATATTTTAACAGCAAGCAAAGCCTCTGAATAGAGCTTTTGCACAAAGCTGCACCCAGACTGTGGTATGCCATGCTACTAAGTTGCCACACAAGTGCCACCCTTCCTGTCACCTAAGCCACAAGGCAATGAATAACCCCCAGTTAGAAGTTTAGTCTTCTTTCTTCCTCCATCTAAACTAAAATTGTAAAATACCAGATCGATGTGTTAAGAATGCAGCTTGAAGGTATGATACAATAAGCCATGCAGTGACTATGGAGATCCCATTGCAAATCCTTTAAAACGTTTGCCTCGTCTACCTTTTGTCAATTCTCCCTTGGATGCTTTTCATTTTCCAGCACATCATTTCTGCCGAACGGGAGAAGTGATGATATTGGGCTTGATGGGAGGCTGTGCTGCCATGTCCGCTCTCCTGGAGTCCAGTGTGGAGGAGGAGTCCAGCTTGCCCTGAACTCTGCTCGGTCAGTTCCCTTCACCCACTGTTCAACACCTCACCCTGACCCATTCCTTCACAAACTTGACAAGAGAGAGCAGAAAACTCTCCTTTTTGTCCTTCATTCATTCATTAGAGGTGAACTGCAGACTTAACTAACCACAAAGCACTAAACTTCACCATGAGGATCACGAAGGAATTATGAAAGAACATCAGATGTCTGTTCTGAAAGGGTCACCTCTGCACACACATGTCCTCTCCCTCGGACTCATAATTTGATAGGCAAGCTGCAGAAGGTGCTTCCTTCTTTGGAAAACTGCACTGAGTTATAAAAGCTGGGGAGTTGGAATTTAGCACCTTTTCTAGATTTGCTTTCTTTCTTTCCCTTACATATACTTCATGTGGAAACCAGCTGTACTATTTAGCATCCCCTTAGCCCAACCTGCCCTTTTCTTTCTTCAAAACTCATGGAAGGGATGTCCTTCTTTTATATCAGCACCCTGCTCTGCCTACTGCCACTCCCCACCCCCTGTCATTGGAAACACATTTCTTCTATTTCAAAAGCACATTTTAAATATGTCTTCCTTTCATCTGGATAAAATTCTCTTTTGCCTGGAGACTCAGAGAAAGTGACAGAAATCAACAAACTTTGCAGTCTACAGGCTCTCATTCTGCACTTTGGCCCTAGTGCTTACTAACCATGTCCCCCTGGAAAAGCTACCAGGGCTCTCTGAGCCTCAGTTTCCTCATCTGCAAAATGGAGATGGTAATATTGCAAAGGAGTCATGATTTTTTGATTAGGTAGTTTACATAAATGGCCTAGCATAGTGTTTGACTCCTGAAATGATTGTCAGTGTCCCTTCTTGGAAAACTCCATTATTAAATTCTGTTTGATGTAACTATTTGCAGGATTACCTCCTGTGTTAAAATCCTAGCCACTTGAGAATAGGCACCACAGCTCATTCACATGGGGTTCCCTGCAGCCTTGAACAAAGCTTTGTGCCTAGCAGATGCTCAGGCACATCACTGGCTGCATCAACATGTTATTGTGAAAATACAAATGATCAGAGGTCTGTGAAGAGTCAGGCTTAGAGGTGAAAGGAGGGCCTGGGTATAAAGCTACGTTCTTTAAAGTCTTTGCTGAGTTCAGCAAGGTTCTTGAGGCAGGGTAGCTGCAAGTAGTTGCAGTTGCATTAAATGAGCCAGGGTAGTTGCAGGGAGAAAGTGGCAGGCTCATGAAATTTAGGGCCCCAGGGTGACCTTAACCTGGGTCACAGGCAAGATGAATCAGAAGAGAAAACAGAGACAAAGCTAGCTCCTCTCAGATCCTTAGACATTCCAAACAAGGGGGAGACTCAGTCTTTCCTGATTAATCTTTAGTGATTTATTCTTTGGACATCATTTAAAAGGAGCATTTTAAAGTAAATTAATTGAACTCCCATGACCTTTTACCCTACATGTATCATCAAAAGAAACTAGATCTTGAAATTAAAAAAAAAATACTTGATTTATTTTCTGTGACTTACAAACTACTGAGGAATGTCAGTTGGGTTTTTATTTTTTGAAATTATAAATAAAAACTCCAGTCTTTTCAGCAGTTAGTTGAAACATCCCAACTGTAACAAATAAGTGTTGAGTGAGGAGTATCATAAGAGGAGAAGTAATAAATACAGAACCTAAGATACATAGGTAGAGGAAAGTATTGGTTGTCTTAAAAAAACAGCTATTGCCCCTTTTACCTCTCTGGCCTGATATTATTCCTGAGTTCACCCCTCTTCAACATGACTTGGGTAAATTTTCATTAATATAAGCTGGTGTTTTCCAAAGTACAGGCAGGGGTCTATTAGGGAATTGTAAAATCAGTTTAGTAGTTGGATTATTATTATTATCATTATTTTTGATTAATGAATATAGCAGTAAAGAGAATAAAACAGAATAGAAAATATATGAATGCATTGCATAGTAAGGATGAGTTTTATAAAACTTTCATTTGTGCTTTATATATGCATTACGAAATGCGTTTATGTGTGTACTGAGCTGGGGTGTACAATGTATTTTTCACAGTCATTTCTCAAAAACTTTGGAAGCTGTTGAATCCTGCAGGCCTCATGGTGATTTGTTTGCAAATTGCTGGGTGATGGTGATATGGCTCTGGCCCATGAGACATCAAAGGAGATGTGGTGGGGAAGGCTGGGAAAAAATTCCTCACCCAAACGCATGATACACTGTGGACCTACTGTCCTCTCTTTCACTGGGTGTTGCCATGTCTATATGTGCTTCCTGGTACTGTGGCTCCATCTTACAACTACAAAAGCAGCTCACATGAGATCATGTTGAACATAACATGTACGAAGATGAAAGGAATTGGGTCCTAGGTTCAGTGTTAAACTGTGATGTTAAATACCTCTGAAACTATTCCACCTCTGGGCTATCACATGAGATCATAAATCCCTTACTGTTTAAGCCACTTGAGTTAGTTTTATGTTACTTACAGCTGAAAGAACCCTAAGGGATAAAGAAAGCTTATTTTAGGAAGTGCAAGTAAATCAAACACTGGTGTATAGGTCTGGTGGAAGGAAAGCTTGAAAAGGAACTCTGAGTCAGATGGTGAAGAATGCTGAGTTCCAGGACCGAGCACTAATGTGAAGACAGGACAGGCTTACAGTTATGAGCACAGACTCAGGAGTAGACAGTCTGGGCTTGAGCCTCTTTTTTCTACTTGTTAGCTGGGTTACTTAGGTGAGTAATCATTTTCAGCAGTAAATTGGAATACTGATCTGGTGTCATTTTCTAGGGTGGATTGGAAGTTGGGAAAATGCGGAGTCATTGAAATTAGAAGACTATTGTGACAATCCATTAATGAATAATGAGGGCTTATGCTCTGGAGATGGTAAAGGAAACCCATGGGAAGAGAAGGATGTAGGAGGTACTAAGAAGGTGGGCTTGGTGATAGACTGGTTATGGGACACGGGGCTGAGGAAGGAATGAAATCCAGCTGTGTGATCTCAGTGCTGGAGCATAGGGTGGGGAAGGGATGATGTATGTGGTGAGGTGGGAATAAGAAGTGAGGATGGGAAATAACTTCCCATGATACCCTTTATGGCGGTGGTGGGGGGTGGTGGATGGCACTGCATTTTCTTAGAATTTCCTCACCACAGATTCCATTTTATGGTTGGTGTCCCAAAATTCTGAGATGTTAAGGCCCTCTTCCTGAGTGAGAGAGTAAATGACGAAGACATTTAATTCCAGGCCATTTTTACTTCAAATTGCTTGACAGCCACCTGTGTCCAGGATGAAAAATGGGAAATCATGAGGAAGTATAAAGTATAAAGTGAGAAGATAGAGTTCAAACTCTAGATCCATAATACAGATAGGAAATAAAGGAGGGACTGTGCATAATAAAGGAGGGGCAGAACTTAAAAGACAGATTTTGTTAGAATGATATTTTTTTAATTGAAAAAAATGTAAGGTGAGAAAACAAAGACTAGTATTAGTGGAGACAAAGTACAGAGACTGGCTGGGGGAAATTAGGGTGATGCAGATGGAGTGAATTCCAAAAGAAGAGCGTGCGGCAGGGGACATGCCCACGTGTCACCGCTTGAGGGGCTACGGGAGCTAGGGGCTGAGAAAAGGGCACAGGCTACAAGAACACGTGACTTTCTGGTGACTTTAAGCTAGGAATTTCAGTAAGTTTGGCAAATATATGTGCTAAATTGTTGGATTGTTAGAGTGAGTGGAGGGGAGACTGTGGGCCATTAATGAAAAGTCACAATGGAAAGTAAAGATTTGACAAGAAAGGAAATACCTTTTCATGTTTAAAGTAGAAAGAAAGGATCATAAATTGAAGATATTTTGAAAAGGAGAATAATTGAGGGAGCAGAAATCTGTAGAAGTTAGAGTTAGGAAATGAGAGAGAGGAGAAGGAGAGAGAGCCCTCAGAAGACAGGGAGGTAGTCTGTGTATAAACTGATCTGTAATCCAAAAAGGTTAGTGAAAAGACTGGTAGGTATTATCTAAGGGTAGGGGAAATGACGCGTTGTGACTTCTCCCTGCAACACCTGATACCTTCAAGAGATGGTGAGGAGAAAATAGACTTTGGAAGGGGTATGCAATTTGTATCCTGTGATTCAGAAAAATGGTACAAGGGTATTAGTGAGAGCAACACTGAAGTGTTTCTGGAGCCCGTTCTCCTGCAGCAAGTTGTGTGTCGGCTTTCAGTGGACAGAGTTCAGGATTCTAATCACGGGTCTGCTTTAATTAGTTGGAAAGTCTTATTATTGTTATATTTCTTTACTGTAACAGCCGTAGTCTCATTTATTTATATAATGGGACACATTGGCCATGGTTTTCACTGTGGAAATTCAATAAGATGACACAGATGATGATGATGATAATGTTGATGACGATGATATAGCACACTAGCAATAATATGTAAAAATCATGTGGCTCTTTCGATGGTGAGCTGGATACTTCTAGCTTCCTACATATATTAGCTTATTTAACCCTCCAATCTGCTGTTGAAGTTCTATACTCCCTGCTCCTACCCCAGTTTACAGAAGACACTATGATAAGTTTAACAACATTGTTAAGAAAGTCTGATAAGTTTAAACTTTACCTAAGTTTTAACAACTAACAAAATGACAGAACCAGGATACAAACTAACTAGCCTGGTTCCAGATAAAGAATTTCACAAATATTAAAGCCTTCTATTTTGCCAGGTATTATTATAAGAGAAATAAAGCATATTCTTAAAACATGGTCTAACCAATTTTCAACAGAGGATGTATTTTTTACATTAATTTATTTTGATTACTTAAGGTGCCTGTTTTTGTAAACCATTAGCTCTTGAAAGCATTGTGTTTCCAAAGTTTGTTTGTTTTGCTATTTAGAAAATAGCACCTCCCATCTTCATGTAGATTCCTTAGCAAGATAAACCTCTGACAATGCTCTGTGGTGTTTACTTCCATGAGCCACGGCACTGCTGCTCTGAGGAGGACGAGGAGGACCTGTCACCTCTGAGAGGCTGCTCCTGAGAAGCAGGGATGGCAACTGCTGTCTCAAACTTCCTGACCAACCCTGAGCCAGATGGTGTATCAGGCAAAGACGATGGCCTTGAAAGGAATATAGCTATTCAAAGGCTAGGGAAAATTCTTTACCACGTTGTAAAAATGTGGAATCTCATTTTAAATGGGTTTCTCCAGAGTGTCGCTTTAATGACTTCTGCCTCAAGAAGATGTTGAACTAGATTCCAAGCAAATTGCATTGGGTGGTTGATATTTTACACCAAGAACTGTAAAGCACCAACACAACCTTCCAGACTGAATGAAAGGCTTAGAAGGCTGTTCAAACAGGCCACTGTGCCTGGCAGGAAATTATTGCTTTCAATACTGAAACAGCTATAGAAGCTTATTTGTAATATCTTCAAACTTAGTTGGCTGCAGTTCGAAATTGCTGTAGCTACCTGGGAATTTGACCAGAAATACAGTTAGAGAAGTTATGTCAGGATTGCGTCCTCTGCTAGAACCATGAGGAAAGCGGCAGAAGTAGCTTAGTCACTGCATTGTATCCACCGCTTTCAGGGTCAGTGGTGGGGGCTCTGCTACAGTGACACAGGCAGATTTGGAACTGGCCGTGATAGTCTACAGAGGCTGACCTGGTGCTCTGGCTCAGGGGTCTGGTGTCTCATGTAAGGTATTGTCAGAAGATTTTCTTTTCAGTTTCTGTACATCCTATGCCAGATCAGTCCCAATCCCAGATCAATGCTCTCTACATAGTGAGCAAGAGCATTTCGAGACTCAGGAAAAACACATTTTCTCTTTCAAACCCTGTTCCTAGGTTTTTAAGAGGAGCTTAGGTACAAAGAGGAAGTTATTGATTCAGAACCATAGAAACTAGAATATAAAAAGTAAAAGCCGTGCGGAACCCAGGTAGCAAGGGCCTGCTGCTGACATCAGCCCCTGTGGTGGTGTCCGAGATGGGAGCCGCACTGTGTGCTGTCTTCAGTGATATGACAATTCAGGCCCAACTGAAAGCAAGTCAACTGCGACCTCAAAGGCCCTCAGCGGCCTGACAAACACGCCTGGCTTTCCCTGCAGTAGTGCCGCCTCCTGCATAGGTTTTGGCTTGCTTCTAAATTATGCTTAAAATCTATTTCTACACTTTTTTCCCAAGGGTCTCCTCCACATTTTTGTTAAAAAAATGGTATTACATTAGACTGAAGAAAAAAAAAAGAGCATCGCTGCTGTTACAAGGGCTGTAAATGTGCAACGGGCTTGCTGCCCGCTCCTGCCGATCTTCCTTGGCACCGATGAGAATGCTGTGGGCTTGCCTTTCTGCATATTTCAGGGGTCCTGCTAACTTTCTTAATTGTTAGATTTTCTTAGATGTTAGCTAGTTTTATAGATGGGATTTACTTAGGAATATCATGAGTTTTCATGCTCTGAAATTTAGATGTTTTGCTTTATAATGTATTCTTAAATTTACATTCTATTTCTGGCCCGACCCCCTGGACTGTAATAGATTTGTGCCAGAAGAGTTAAACTGTGACTGAAAACTCTCACACCTTGTCACACTGTGTGACAGACCATAGATCCAGGCTAGATTGACTATAGATGGTTCCAGTCCTAAAATGAATCCTCAAAATTTTTCCAGTCTTATTTTTTGTTAGCAGAAAATATGAAATAAATATATACTTATACAACACACAGCATCTTTTTATACTATACCTTAGCACTTTTCTTTTTGACATTATTACTACTATATTTTAAGTTCCTGTGAAGGCAGGGGCTTATCTTGGCTACCAATGACTCCTTAATTAAAAAAATATATATATTTAGATTGTGGCACTTCCCTGTTTAAAGTTCATTGTTGGTTTCTCATGATGTTGAGTAAAAAAACAAATTCTCTCCGTGGGCCTAAGGGCCTCAGTGGCACGGGTTCTGCCTCACTGGGGCCACCACCTCGGCTTCTTGCTCTCTGTTCAGATAGGCCCCTCTCCACTTTTGCAAGCTCCTTCCCAACTCAGGTGCTCACACAAGTTGTTCCCTCAGTCTGAGATGCTCTTTTGCAGTGATGGATTCCTCCTATTTGAATGTCTATGCTCTCTGCAACCATGCATTTAACTAGATCCCTTCCGTTCTCCATTTTCTATATTTCAACAGGCCCCATCTCCATTTTCTATATTTCAGCAACCACTCTGTCTCTTTGGGAATACTTAACATAGTTCGTTTATTTTCATGCCACTTAGCCCTGAGCTCTATGAGGTCAGGGACCCCATGCCTGTGATAGTCCTAGAGTTTAACCTTTACCTAGCACATGGTAGCTGTTCAACAACTATTTGCTGAATAAATACAAGAGCTTGGGAAGGACAAGTTAATAAATGTACCATATATTTGTCATCTTCAGTGTAGGGGAATAGAAAGAGACAAAATTGAAAAGATTCACTGAGTCCAGATCATAGGTGCCCTCGGCTGGAGTCTATAGCTAAAAACAAAAATAGTGTTTTGAGCAGGGAACTGTCACCTGGCCTATATTGAAAAAAGGTGAATCTGGCAAAAATATAGCAGGCTTGATTTTAGTAGAAAAATAACATTAAGAATGCTGGTAACAGTATTAGGTGTAGAGGACTGAAACTAAGGAGTTTAGATAAGCAGCAGTATTGATTAAAAACTTTAATATACTAAAGCAGGTTGAAGAGAGAAAACTCCTTTTTTTGATGGCTAAGTCATTCAAAATATATGTCTTGAGAAAGTTGTTACGGAGAATGGAATAAAAATTACTCCTTGTCTATCGTGAGGGGATTAATTTCAAAGACATACCCTGATGGAGCTCAGCCTCCTTTTAGTATTTTTGCTTACTGATGGTCTCCTGCTCATACGTGAGATAAGGGCAAATAGTTGTTTTGTTACTGCTATTTCAGATCCTCTAATAAATCCCAAACAGAAACATATTAGCTGAGATGTGTTTGGTTTTGAAACCCTTTTGTATGGAGTATTGTAGGAAAGGAGGGCCAGGCTGCCTCTCTTTAGAAAAGACAGTCTCAATTGGTGGAATATAGGATTTTGAGTTGGATTTTCTAGGTTGAGACCTGTCTCTGTCCTGCACTACCTAGGTGAGATTGGACAAGTAATTTAACCATTCAGAACCCCTATTTTCTGTTCTATAAAATGGAAATAAATCATGCCCTAACTTATGGTGAATACTTTTAATCTATAAACTGCTGTTCAAACCCCAATAAACAGGATTCACAGATATTCTGCATCTCCATCTTGGCCCACATAGTTGCACAACAATGTTTTAACTTCTATGTATCCAGAAATTAGTGGAAGCAGATTTACAGATATGAAGGGTGGAGGAGGAAGAAATCATAAATAGAACATATCAACCAGGCCACTGTGGCCAGATTAGTAATACAGGGCTTGTGGGCTGCATACTTTCCAATTTAAATCAACTAGGAATTATCAACACTAGATACTAAATTATAAAATAGTGTAATTTGTCAAAATGTTTTTTTTTTTGGCTAGTTTGTGAGGGTATGATGGGTAAGAAAGATGAAGAGCATCTTCCTGTCATGTTTTCATTGTTATTGACAATAATATCACTGAAAGGCAGTGATTCCTAAACTCTTGGGTCAGGGACTTTTTAGAATCTCTGATGAAAGGGATAGACTCTAGAAAAATTCTGACGTACATATTTGTGGATAAAATGAGAGTTCCTCCCAAATGAATAGTCTAACATCACAATTATCAAAATTGTAAAAAGAAGAACAAACAAGGCCTAAAGTCAGCAGAGGGAGGGACATAATAAATGTCAGAGAAGAAATAAATAAAATTGAGAAGAATAAAACAATAGAAAAAAATCAATGAAACCAAGAGCTGGTTTTTTGAGAAAATAAAAAAAAATTGATAAGCCCCTAGCCAAACTTATTAAGAGAAAAAGAGAATCAACATACATCAACAGAATTAGAAATGAGTATGAAAAATCATGACAGACTCCACAGAAATACAAAGAACTATTAGAAATACTATGAAAACCTATATGCTAACAAGCTGGAAAACCTAGAAGAAATGGACAACTTCCTAGAAAAATACAACCTTCCAAGACTGACCAAGGAAGAAACACGAAATTTAAACAAACTGATTATGAGCAAAGAAATTGAAGCAGCAATCAAAAAACTAACCAAGAACAAAACCCCCGGGCCAGATGGATTTACTTCGAAATTTTATCAGACATACAGAGAAGACATAATACCCATTCACCTTAAAGTTTTCCAAAAAACAGAAGAGGAGGGAATACTCCCAAACTCATTCTATGAAACCAATCTCACCATAATATCAAAA